CTGTCAAAATTGTACGGTCAAATAACATAACATTGTCTGCTGTAATGGGCTTCCACTCTCCAATATTCAGGCAGGGAAATTTACCACTTGAGATGCTTTAACTGTAGATGACTGGGACTGGTATCTTCTCCATTCAAGTTGTGTTCTTAAACTGCAGAATTCCCCCTGTTGGGCTTATGAATCTTCTGCAATTGAATAAGTATAAATATTAGCGGTGGTGTTGTAATAGATGCATTTATAGGACAGAAATTGAATTTATTATTATTTAACTGTGTCTTTAGATTCTCTTGTCTATATTAAGCTGCCTTTCCAAGTAAATGAACCATTGATCTCAAGGATCTTTATTTACGCCGAACATATGTAGATGTTCTTGGTCCACTTACAAAGAGTAAGCTTATATGGGGTGGGGGGGGGGATGTATTAGTTACAGCTGAAGAACCGTCTATTTTAATTGTTTGTCTGGTTTACCAGTGGCCCTGGGTTTGCTAGGATAAGGAAAGGGATAAGAACTTCTCTAATGAGATGCCATTTCATAACAGGAAAGAAGAAAGGTATGAGCGTAGCATGAAGAAGGGGATGGCAGACTTAGGGGCTCCTGGGGCTTGCCACTTTCCCCTCCATCCAGTCCAATCCAATTACTGTTCCTTCGACCATTGTCATGAACAGGAGCACACAGTCAGGTGAAACAAACCAAGTTAGAGGGCTCTTTAAACATGCTGTTCTATAACTGCTGCCAGATATTTGGCCACCTGTACAGTAACTTGGATTACTGTGATGTTGAATGGTTTACCTTGGAATCGGACCGAAATCATTCTGTCATTTTTGAGATTGTATCCCAGTACTGACTTTTGCACTCTCTTGTTGACTATAAAGGCCACACCATTTTTTCTACGAGATTCCTGGCCACAGTAGTAGATATAATGGTCTTCTGTGTTAAATTCGCCCATTCGTGTCCACTTTAGTTCACTGATTCCTAAGATATCGATGTTCAGTCTTGCCATCTCATTTTTGACCACGTCAAGCTTACCTTGATTCATAGATCTTACATTCCAGGTTCCTATGCAGTATTGTTCTTTGCCGCATCGAACTTTCCTTTCACCATCAGACACATCCACAACTGAGCGTCCTTTCGGCTTTGGCCCAGCCGCTTCACTCTGTCTGGGGTTACTTGTACTTGCCCTCTGCTCTTCCCCAGTAGCATAGTGGACACCTTCCGACCTGAGAGGCTCATCTTCCGGCGTCATATCTTTTAGCCTTTTGATACTGTCCATGGGGTTTTCTTGGCAAAAATACTGGAGTGGGTTGCCATTTCCTTCTCCAGGGGATCACGCTTGGTCTGAGTTCTCTGCTGTGGCCTGTCCATCTTGGGTGGCCCTCCACGGCATAGCCCACAGCCTCATCGAACCACACAAGCCCCCTCGCCACGACAAGGCAGTGATCCATGAGGGGGAACCCATTTATTGCTCATTCTTAAATTCTGCTAGCTCCTTTCGAATCTTCCAGCTGTTATTTTGTTTCATCAGCTTCTTTCATTTGCTGTTGTAGCGCTTTCATAGTGATTTGTAAAAATAGGGTTTAGAACTGTTCGTAGTCACTAACAGATGTAGCATTTAAATAGAACATACTTGAATAACTATTTTCAAAAAGATTATGCAAAAATATTTTATAGGTTATGTATAATGTTTATTTTTTTCATTTTCCTCACATTCTACCCCACTTATTTGTGTATGGTTGTGGTTGTGTTTTCTTTATAGATTCTTTTAAGGAACAGTATGCTATACAAGATCAGAAATGTAGAGGAGAGTGTAATTACTATATTAATCATGCATTGGTCCAAGAATATGTATTTGAGGTTTTCGTTTCTTGCATGCTTTCAGGTTCTCTGTGCTAGAATACTGCCCTTTTAAAGACTTGTCTTTGAAGAAGAAGGCATTGTGTATAATAATTATTTTTTTTACTTCTTTCAAGGATTCTGGCTCTTCATGTTTTGATATGGAAAGCTTAGCTAGTGGTAGTGATGCTTAGCTGTCACTTGATGTTGCTGTCTCTGGTCAGCAGATAGAAACCAGGTATACATCTAAGTGAAAGGAAGAAGGTCTGGTATTCTCATTTTGCCATAAATGTCCAGTTATGCCAAGAGCAGGATAGAAGCACTCTTACTCAGATCTTTATCTAGTCGCTTGCATTGATGTCTGTTTTTATGCCTTATAGGCATCCAGATCTCATTGTCAGGACTTTCACTGCATTTGGCTTTGCTTCTATCTGCACTGGTACACCTTGTTTTAGCCTGTTTATCTGGAATGGTTCTGCTGTTTGTGACTTGATTTAACCCTCTTCCACATTGCACACACACCCATTCCCTGTGGCTACTTTTAGGGAACATTAAAGACATTTCTCATCCAGCTTCATCACTGATCTATCACATGTCATCTGGTTTATCCCTGGCCTGTCTGTTTTGCTCTCCTATGTATTACAATGCACACACATTATGACAGCACAGCAGATGCTGCCTATCACCAAGGGGGGCAAATATGGCATTTCTCTCCAGTCTGCAGTGCTGCCTGCCTGTGTCCAAGCACTGTGTCCTCTGCTTAGCAGCTGTAGCCCAAGAGAGAACAGAACAGCAAGCAAAAAAGAAACACAGCTGCTTTGTATAAAATAAAATAAACCTTCTTTCTAGGCTAATGATCCAGCAATATAATATGATTGTTGTAAATAATACTTCTGAAAGATGGACATAATCTTATTTGAGGGTAAGATTTGTGAGTATAACTCTGCTTGGTTGGTAATTGTCCCTGTCAGTTGCATACATGTTAAGGTGCTGTTCACCTTGAATTCTAAGCCTGGCACTGGGTCTGATTGTTTGATATTAGTGAAGTATTTCCCCCCAATAACAATAATTGAATAATAGATCCAGGTGGGTAGCTGTGTTGGTATGAAGCAGTAGAACAAAGTTTGAGTCCAGTGGCACCTTTAAGACCAACAAAGTGTTATTCAAGATATGAGCTTTCGTGTACACACACTTCCTCAGATACAAACTGAGGAATGAGTCTCAATGAATGAGACCTTTTCATTTCAGCTTCTGATTTGCTTAACATAGAAACAGAAATCTAGCAGGTTCCTTATTTGCACTAAAATTATTGTCCTTTATTGCTGCCATTGGGAATATAGAAATGCCTGGTTTTATTCACAGGGCTACATAGCTTGACTTTGGGGGGGGGGAGCATTTTGAAAAATGCAATTTTGTGTCTATTTAGTTGTGTTTTCTTTTAAGTTTAAAAACTATTTCAGAGACACAGTACAGTAGCTAGATTTAACTGTTGTAAAGGAAACTAGATTGGCAGAAATTTTGACTACCAGCTCCAAATTCCCTTACCCAGAAATCTAAATGCCGAAAGTACCTCCTACTTTTAAAGGAGCCATCATTTCATATAATTCATGGTTCTGATAAGTATTCCTCTACCCAGGAATTTGTGTATCGGCCTCCAAACATTTCCTTCACCTTTTTTCTGAGGCTGTTTGCAAGTAGTGCCTACTGCATCCCTCCTTCATGCCAAGTGCCACAACATCCCAGTATTATCATTTACTCCTTTATTTAACAGTAAATTGTCTAGTCCTTGTTTGGATGATGGAAGTCTCATAGTGGGGCCACACAGAGACAAGACCCCTACTCAGGAGCCAGGTATAAAGAAAAATATGACTTTTGAAATTAACTGAAATGAAAAAAATGACACACACACACCCAAAAAAATTGCTTGATGAGGACCGACAGTGTTGTAGGAGGAGTAAAATGTTGAGAGCAGGTAAGATACAGTTGAAAGGGGGAAGGGAGAAGAATCATTTTGCTCAAGCTCATGAGAGTTTGTAGCTTTGTAAAGCAGAATTTCCAAATAGTTCCTCACTTGCATTTTGATTAAGGGCCCCCAGCTCGTTTTTTTTTTTTTTTTAAGTTTGAAAGTATCTCCTTGTCACTTATGTAACATAGCACATTTCTCTAAAGTAATCAAATGTAAACCTGGACAATAACGGAGTCCATTATAACATGCCAGTAGGGCCTTCAGAACTGCTAGTTCTCTTGCTGCCACCATCCATCAGTGACAGTAATCCTTATGGACAGGAAGAGGGGCTGGGCTCCTCAGGTAATCCTGACTAGGAATTAATTATTGTACCCGTGAATAAGATTGTAACTGAGCACCCTGCTGAATTTCTTTTTTTGGTTGTCTGTAATGTTTAATATTAGTGCACTTGCTATGATGCTAACTTGAAACATGTTGAGGAGCTCCAAGGGGTCTGAATTGAGTGGGGAGGACTGGATATGAGGATCATATTGCACCTACCTTTATTGACTGGCACTGATTTCTTGTTGCTTACCAGGCACAGTTAAAGTGCTGAGTTTTGACCTTTTAAATTCTGAAATGTCTAAGCCCTGAGTATTTGAAGGAACATTCTTACCATATGTGCTGCATGTGGCTTAATATCATTGAGAAAGACTTAATGGGTGCTCCAGCTGTCTGAAATGTGGTGGGTGAACACAGGATTAAGGGCTTTCTCATAGTAGTGCCTGTTCCCCAGGAAATCATATCAAATCATCTCTGTCCTAATCCGTAGAGAATGAGACTTGGTGAAGACTATTTTTATTTTTAAAGCGAGAAATTACTGGACTGGAGGAGAGATCTGATTTGATATAACTTGATATAACATTTTTATTAGTTGTTCTAATAAGCTGTGTTTATGTCTCTGTTATTAGAGGGTTATTTATAAATTTATAAATAAATAAATAAGATATTTGGACTTGGACTGTAATACAGTGAAGTTCAGTAATAGTATGTTACCCATGATGTGGAACTTTTTTCTTTTGTTTAGGAGTTTAAAAACAGTAATAAAACTGTTATACTAATTCTGCTGATCTGTGTATCATTGCATAATATGTCCCAATTTATTTCTTCAGGTATATGTGGAATTTGATGACCTTGAATGGGAAAAACGAGAATGGGTTAAAGTTTATGAAGATTTTGCAGCTTTCCTGGTGGAGTACCAGCTGGTCTGGGCAAAGAGAAAGGATCCTAGCCAGACTCAGGGATCAAAGCTCAAGCATATTCAGTGGCCTGCATTGGTAAGACATGTAATTATTTTTTATGAATGCCTTAGAGAAAGTCAAGAAAGTGAAACAATGTGGGCTTGAAATTTGGAGTTTATAAATTGGTGTATTCTTTTTTCATACCCTTGGTGATGCTATAAGCTGTTTTAGAAGTACTGTAATTGTAGTTATTTGGATGTTGGGAAAAGTGTATGGCATGCTTTCCTTTATTTCATTTTTAGTTCTAAAATTTGTATTGGCCAGGAAGGTGGGCAGTGGAGTCCGAGAAGTGTTATCGAGTTGTGTGATGCTGTTAGGCAGAGTTTAAAGCAGGGCACAGACTTAATGCATGGTAACTGGATGTCACCCTTTCACCCCTTGGTTTTACCTGTACTGTGTAGTAAGTTATCATTTACCTCTGTTTTAGTACTCTCCCTTTTCTGCAAATTACTTGTCTCTGCATTAGCTCTTGATGAGATCTGTACAGAATATGTTTTGTATTGTTGCATCTGGATGTCCAAAGATGTATCAGAAGTTGGTAGCAGTTACCGCTTAGCAACTGTGTCAAATCTGAGTGATTATTGTATAAACAAACTGAAAGGCTCCTTGAAGATCAGTTTCACCAAAACTACTTCTTTCCTTTCTACTGGGTTGGCTCTGTAGAGACCAACTGAGAATTGAGTGGGCAAAGGAATGCTCTATAGTTCTTCACTTTGCATCAAGTATCTCCCGAAGTCAGTCTCATTTGTCCTAAGCCAGATTCAGTTATGTCTTTGTTTACTGTCAAAGGAGTAGAATCCAAAAGATTTTAGTGGGAAAAATATGAATGCTGAAGTGAGCGCTCTAAATATTGTTTAGTTATCTATGCTGATTTGTACCTTGGAGGATGAGGATTTTGTAGATCAACTCTTCTGGTTCCAGTCGCAAAGGAGGTTCTGGACAACATAATGGCCTGAAAAATCTGCTTTCCACCTTTCTGTCTTTTTAGAAAAAACTTGTAACATTCAGCCTGTTGAAGTATTCTTGTGAGGTGGAAAGTTTACACAATGTTTTGTGTCCATTTGGTTGGTCCTAATGAAAAAAAAATTACATAGTTTTGGGGGTTGGGGGGGTTGGGGAGGAGTTCTGTGTTCACCAATATATCTGTGCGGTTGTTTTGCCTGTCCTCTACTCCCCCAAACATTCTATTAGACTATCCTGTATGACCAAATATGGAGATAGATCAAGCTGGGTAGCCGTGCTAGTCTGTCTGTAGCAGAAGAAAAGGAAAAGAGTTCAGTAGCACCTTAAAAAACAACAAAATTTGTGGGAGGGTATGAGCTCATACCTTGCCACAAATTTTGTTAGTCTTTAAAGTGCTACCCTGTTTCCCCGAAAATAAGACCTACCCCAAAAATAAGCCCTAGCAGGATTTCTATGCATTTGTGGTATAAGCTCTAGTGTGTCTTCTTGAGAAAAAATAAATATAAGACAGTGTCTTATTTTTGGGGAAACATGGTACTAGACTTTTGCTCTTTTCTACTATATGATAAGCTGTAAAACATTCTGCATCTTCACCACTTAGCATGATCTGTGTCTTCCAGGAACTCCTTTTCCTGACATGCTGGACTGTGTTATGTACCTAAAGCAGTAAGGCTTTTCTTTGTTGAAGGTTACTTTGGGTTGAAATTCAAAACTGATTGTTAGTTTCCCATGGCTTGGTGAAACATTTCTTGACGGGCCTGATATACCCTTTGCTCAACATTTGGTTCCTTGTTTCCTTGTTCTTTTTGAACTCCTCAGTAACCATTCTGAACCCATGACTACTTGTGATATGAGACTGCTTTCATTCAAAACGGCTTTCCTTCTGGTAATCACATACTATGGTCTTTCATAAGGGCAAAGTAGTACTTCATTCAGATGTCAGTTTTCCACTTCAATAGTTTCTGCTTTACTTCTCATGCAAGATGTTACTCTTCTTGTCTTTTCCTGCTTTGGCAGGCCAGAGAGCAGCTGATATACTGGATGTCACATGAACCTTCTCTTTGTACACCTGTAAAGCCAAAGATTCCAGAAAGGACCATAATTTGTTTCTTTGCGGCAATACCCCAATGAAGTGTTGTATAGTCTCCAGCCAAAGAAGTGGGTGGTAGGGTAGTTGTTAGTGAAGCAGCCTTTGTCTTATATTCCACATACATCCTGAATGAGAGATATAGCTGCTTCTTCAATCTAAGAGGGGTACATTGAGCCACAATGTGGGTAACTGTTGCTCAACTTTCTTCTCCCACAATGACCTCACTGGGCAGGCCTCTGAATTAAAGATCGTTGTTAGTCTTAGGGAAAATGTATTCTTCCTTACCATTGTTTAATATAACTTAGTAGAAAAATGTGTTTTGCCTTACCTAATGGTTTATGTTTATGTTTTACCTAATATTGTTTGGTATAGCATGATTGCTCCTTTCCTAGTCCCTGTTACTGAAATTCTGGCCACTTTGTATTGGGACAGGAGGAAGGTTTTTTTCTTCCCCATTTTTTCATAGCAATGAATGACACACACACACACAAACACACAATTTTATTGGAGAAAATAAAATACTGCAGTCAAGATACAATTGAGCATTTGTGACCCAGTATTTGGATTAGGAGGGTAGGATTTGCCTTTCATCAATGCAGTCTGTGACACAGCTTTCCGGCTAGAAAAGATCGCTGTATGAATTCTGAAACTTTTTCGTCCACCTGGAAGCAATTGGTACTTTTGTTGGGTCAGCCAGTGACACATCTGTGTCTGCTGCTACATGCATTGGAATTCCTTGGGAATTTCCTTGGTAACTGCTTTGTAGTTGTCATAATCATAACATTAGGCTTGATTATGGCATCACAGGCAAAGCATGGTATGGTTGCCATGAAGTGGCTTTGTGCCTGTATGCTTCCTCCTTCTGTTGCATGCTCCAGACCAATGTTCCCTCTAAATTCCACAGTGTTGTGAGCAAAAATTCTACCTTGCGAGACAAAAAAGCTAGTAGCAATAAAGTTGTGAGTGTCTAGATTTGACTTAGTTTTTAGAAGATTATTAGTTTTTAGAATATTCATTTTTAGATTATTTCCATAGCCTTGTAAAAATCTCAGAATGAATTCTTTTAAGCTATATTTAAACTATATTTTAAGAATAATTTAAATATTATGAGAGAAAACAAAATCAAGTCAAATTTCATTACAGAAAATGTTGTTCTCTGTGGGGGTAGACCAGGCCTCTGGAGAACAGGTCTACCCTCCCTTTTCCAATGGAAGGGAAAATGCCTGTGAGCTGGAAGCTAAAATCCCCAAGCAGCTAGCTAAAATTTTGTGCGCCAGCATGCCCTAGCACAGCTTTGAGGGAACACTGCTTCAGACCTTCCTCACATCTGGGTCCACAGGAATTATAGTTTGCCATTGATCAGACAAAGTATGATTACCATGATCTGTGATGTGCTTCCTAACCAGAACTGGGAACACACTTCCAAATATGGTTTCCTCTTCTGATTTGGAGGTAGCTCTATTGGTAACCATATTTTTTCAAGGTGTTGGAACTGAACAGACTAATAGTGAAAGGGAGTGAAAGTGGGAATTGAAGCATACTGGGGGAGGAGGGAATATGAAGCCCATTCACAAACCATGCCTAAAGTGGGCCTTTTTTTTTTTTGTTCGCTGTTATGTCACAGATTATTTATAGTAACATCGTAGGGTTCTCAAGGCAAGAGACGTCCAGAGGTAGTTTGCCATTGTCTGCCTCTGCGTTGTGACCCTGGTATTCCTTGGAGGTCTCCCATCCAAATACTAGTCAGAGCCAACCCTGCTTAGCTTCTGAGATCTGATGAGATTGGGCTAGTTAGGTCATGGTGAAGTGGGCCATAGGATTAATTTATTTGTTACCTTAGCAAAGGATCATCAGTCGTGTTGCTGTGTGCTGTATGTCTTTCTTATACCCTACACTAGTAGGTTTATAGCTACTTCACCACTCACATATTGTGTATATTCAGCCTATCTTCCTTCTGGCAGCTGTGATCTCAGATGAAAAATTCCTTCATATTCTCGTTCCCCTTTCATTTAAACAGGTTCATCTGGGAGAAGACTAGACTTGCTTAATAATATGCTGTTGCTACTTGCATGAAGAGTTAGGGTTGATTTGCATGCATAAATTCTATTTAAAAATTGCCCCATCCTGTGATAGCTTGCTTGTATGGAACTTGCATGTGACCCGCTTATGGCTCATAGCATCTCTTTATGGTGAACAGTTTTCATAACTTTTCATAATATTGCCTTCAGCCATGAGAGCTCAAATCTGTCCCCCCCCTCGAAGAAAGTTGGAATTCTTGTGATTTTAAGAAATATCTCTGTTGCCTAGGTAAAACAAAACATCTAGTCTCTTAGGAATGCCAAGTGACAAGGTGTATTCATTTCTGTCATTAAAAGACAGGTTAAATCCATGATGATGATTGGAAAAAAGATTAAGAAAGTTTGTCTAGAAACGTGGTATAAAACATTATAAAATAACCACAAAGCCTGTTTTCCATCTGTTTTGGTACTGATCACTTAGGTAAAGGGATAAAAAAAGGTTCCAACTCTAAAGTGATGTTTGCTTTACCTCCTTAAGTTAAGACTCATAGTGCAATCCTAAACAGAGTTGCACCCTTCTAAGTCAATGCATTGACTGCTCTATAAATGTTCTGTTTCATAGGCACACAATTCACACATTTTATAATTTTTGAAATGACAATCTACCTTTGATTATTTTTGAAAATTAGACATGTGGGGATGCAATTTGCTTGCCAAAAATTGTGATGAACATAACATTTTGAGTAAGTCTGTTGCCCTCTCACAGTAAAAAGAGTGAGGTACAACTGGTTTGCTTTGGAGTATCCTGTTGTTCTTAACAAGACCGCACAGGTAAACAGTCTATTTGTGTTTAGACTGATATGAGCAGGAGATCCACGAGATTCATGGTGGATGGAAATTCCACCAGCCCTGCCCCCAGTTTCTGTCTTCTCTTCCCCTACTCCCCAGTCTGTTGCTTTCCACCT